AGTTTTCCTTATGTTGTAGCTTTAAACTTGAATACAGATGAAATAAAAGTAATAGATACAAGATACACTGTAATAAGTAAAATAAAACATTTCTGATGTTTAAAATAAAAAATAAAGTACAAGCAGTTTTTTTTTTGATTTTCTAAAATTCACCTCATATTAATGTTAAAATATACATACATTTTGTTTTACAGTTTATCAAAAAATTGAAAGAATTTTACTTTACACTTTCACGTTCCTGTAAAGAACGTAGATATATTTTAATTTAAGTTAGATTCCAAGGTGGCAGTCAAATAATTACACATAATTGAGGGATTGTAAATTTGATGAATTCACTCAAACACAAACCAAAATATAAAATACAACAATTACATCTCATTGCTGTAGATTCCTGAAATCGAATACAAAATATCAAACATTTGAATAGGTATGTCTTTGACTTTTAATTATATTTATATTTAACAAACAAATGTATAACACCTAACTAGTAGAACTATAAGTAAAAAACAAAATTTGTTCAGTCTTCAGATGGTTGAATAGACCGAAACGAAAAACAAAACGACAAGAAACATATACTCAGTTGTGTAATTATTTGAACTCACCCTGGAAAAAACCACATGATCTATTTTAATTTTGTTCTGCTTTTGACATCCTGGTACTTAAAGATGTTGGAGAGCTACACTATTAAAAGAAGTTATTGTAGCATAAAAAATAGTAAACCATACAATGTAAAATTTGATTTTATGAAGCTGTTGAACAAAAGCAGTGAAGCAAAGTAGATGCTAAATACCCGAAAAAAAGTTTTAGCATTTTTCTAATATTTAATATGTAGGTAGCATCTATTTTGTATTATTGATAATTTTAACAGTGAAAACAAATCAAATTTTGCAGATATTGTTCTATTACCATTAGTTGTTTACTATTTTTTGTGCAATAGTAATTTCTGTGTAGCTCTTCAAACTTCTTCAATGATACCTACTTAAAACTTGACCACTGAATGTAAAAATGTAGGTAAAAAATATAATAATAAAATAAGTCGAGACGTCTGTAATAATTTATTGAAAAATTCACATCTATTACCTTTACTTGATGTTGTTCAGCATCATAAATGCTTCCTCCAGTAACTGCAACACACTGCGTCAATTTCCGATCGAAAAAGTGGTTTTCAGGTATTAACACATCTTGGAGTGAAGAAGGACTTATATAATTAAATCTCTGTATCACCTAGCATCTAGAGTGTTCCTGCAAAATAAAATCTTATGAAAAACTATTCATGTATAGTTGAACCTATTAATCAATAAAAGAAATAATTAGATAATTTGTAATTAATTAAAAAGATAAGTGAAAGTAAATGTGTTGGTAAGAAAAATAATAAGTCGAAACGTCTGCAATAATTTATTGAAAAATTCACATCTATTACCTTTACTTGATGTTGTTCAGCATCATAAATCCTTCCTCCAGTAACTGCAACACACAGCGCCAATTTCCGATCGAAAAAGTGGTTTTCAGGTATTAACACATCTTGGAGTGAAGAAGGACTTATATAATTAAATCTATATCACATGACATCTAGAGTGTTCCTGTAAAATAAAATCTTATGAAAAACTATTCAAGTGTAGTTGAACATATTAATCAAAGAAAGAAATAATTAGATAATTTGTAATTAATTAAAAATATGTGAAAAAATTAATAAATAATTGAAATGATCAAGGAAAAGTACCTAAGTTATTGATTGGAAACAGGTGACGAGGAATGGCACCTTTGTGCCTCTTTCAGGTAATGCTACATCCTTGAGTGAAATAGGGTTGATTTAGCCAAATCTCCCACAGCACATGGTATCCTCAGTGTTTCTGTAAAATGAAATATTATAATTAATTTAGCTACTCTGGTAAAACACGTTATTATCACCTTAAATAACTATAAAATCATCCAAGGTGAAAAGTCAACAGCAAACACAGTACCATATAGTAGACGAATTATGCTTTTCCAGTAGGATGAAAATTAACTTCAATGTCTTCATTCTCTCTTATTTGTCAGTTAACCTGCAGGAAATTGATAAGAATAATGGATTAACTACCTCATTAAATAAATAAAACATTAAACTAAAACTTAGATAATTAAGGAACAATATATGTTAACAATTCAAAATGTAGACCAAAACCACGTTAATAATAGAACACATTAAACAACAGTTAAAATAATTTGGAATTGAAAACATAAGTGAAAATATTAGCCAACAATTGAAATGATTAAGGAATAGTACCTACGTTAATAATTGAAAGTATGTCTAAAAATCTACCTTTATGCTTCCTTTAAGTACTGCTACATCCTAAAGTGAAAAATGGTTGATTTGATCCAATGTCCAATAGCACATGGCATCCAGAGTATTTCTGTAAAATATTTACTAATATTAGCAAGAACGAATTGTTCGCAAATAAGTACCTACATAATTTAATATTATAATACACTTCAAAAACAAATCTGTATGAATATAACTATTACAAGCTGATTATTTGCAATGAAATAAAGCTGATTCTGCGCAAAAATGAACTCGGTTTATTAATTCTAAAAAACGCGAGCAACACGTCCTGCTACTAACCACGATAGCCTAAAAATGGTAACGAACAGTACGTTCAAGCCTGCTCGAGTTTGCGAAAGATACTGCATGAAGCACTGATGACGTAAAAAAGACTACTCAGGAGCATCATATTCGATTTCTGCGGCGGTTCGCGGTAAATATTTCGAAAATTAACCAATCGCGTTGCTAGTTTCAATCTCTTTTTATAAAAGTGAAAGGCATGTATGGTTTGCTTTGTGCAAGTTCCATCCAAGTAAATTAATACAAGAGCGAGAGAGACGGTGAAAGCTTAAAAAAGAGAACGTTAGAAAAGCAGATAAAAAGTTTTCCTTATGTTGTAGATTACATATAAGATCCTTAAATATGAGTCAAATACGTGCTTTTGAAAGTATTAAGTAATATTTNATTGAAAATATTCAACAATAACGCAAATAATTAGGTAATAAAATATTAATGAGGGAAAATAAAAGTTAATAATTGAAATGATTAGAAAATGTGATATATGTTTTCATTTTCTTAGTTTGAATTGTGCTAAAATAGGTATAAACTCATTAAAGAATAGCAGACAAATGCACGCTTTCGAAAATATTAAACAATTAAAGTAGTTTAGGTAAAGTAAATGAAATTATACGTATAAACAGGATTATAGGCGATTTTAACATAAGAATTGGAAATGAATGTTGCGTTATGGTAAATAATAAGGAATTTGCAAGAAACTCTAAGGGTGAATACTTCGATAGGGAAGGAATGAATTTTAGACAATAGGGAATAAAGAAAAATTAGGAAATTTAACTGGAAATTTTAAGGGAGATGAAAATGGGGAACATACATATATAGAAAGAGGAAAAATCGGACCACGAGAGGATTTAAGAAGCTTTAAAATAATTTATACAAGATCGGACTATTCGTCGCTAGGGATTGAATGGAGAAATGAAGCGAATGAAAAATTAAACAGTTAAGGGTTGGAAGAGTAGTGTAATTATTAAATGGAGGGAAATAATTATTGAAAAATATAGAAAAAATATAAAAGAAAGGGTAAGCGAATTAATGAATTGAAGTACATGAAGGAAAGTGGCAAAAGGGAAATATCGGGGAGTATATTTAGAAATAGATACACAAAATAGTTGAGAAGGAAAGAGAGAAGGCATTAAGGGAATAAGTACAGTAATATAATAACGCATGGAAGAAGGAATAAAGGTTTATGTCATTAGATTGTTAGGAATGAAACATGTTCGTATTTTTTTATTAATTGTCTCGTAAGAATAATTTGTTCAAAAATGATGTTTTAATTATTCATTAAAACAAACTTTTAATTCATTGCTAAATTAAAACAATAGCATTGGGATACTGTTCAAGTAAAAAGAGAAAGTATTCGGAGAGAAAAAGATGGACAATACCCTCGGCTAAAATGTGATGAAATCCATGTTAATCGGAAATAATATAGCTGCCTAGAAATGAAAGAATTTTCAAAATCGCTCCAATATAGCAAGAAAATTTGCATTTGAAAACAGATAAACTTTCAAAAAATTAAAACGCACTTGTAGAAATTTTAACCATAAAAGAAAAAAGTAAACTTTTCAAGAATTACAGAACGTGAATAATTATTTAATTTACAATTAGGAAGACAACTTGTTCGAATTGAAAAATCATTTAAATGATAATTTGCCGTTAATTAGCTAATCATTATTGTGAAAGAAAAAAGTTTGTCATTTCCTATTTTTAAAAAATATTGCATGTTTTGCTAATTTGATATGAAGTTAGCGCAACATCTAAGGTGATTGTTATTAAATATATATTTGACAACAATTAACCTAATAGGAATTTGCCATGACAGATTGGCAATGAGTGAAATTGCGACAAATGAAGTCTTAGCCTCCTTCGGGGGGTGTTTTGCTGCAAATCCCCAAAAAGTAAGTCTACATTTAATTCGCTCGGAGTGAACAGTCAATTTCTACGAGTAATTAGCACGTCAGAAATGTGATTTATTTGAAATACTAGCATTTAAAATGCAAATACAAAATAAAAAATGCCTATTTTTATCTTGCATGTAAATACTTTTTTGAGAAAAGCATTTTGTATTTTATTTAAAATACTTTTCCAAACGTATTTTCTATTTGTAAAATGCAAAATACATTTTGTTATCTTGCATGTAAATACTTTTTTGAGAAAAGCATTTTGTATTTTATTTAAAATACTTTTCCAAACGGATATTTTATTTATAAAATGCAAAATACTTTTCGCCGTTAAAAATGTTGCTAGTATCATCTATCAAACATTATATAAAACAATCAATGAAAGTTGCTTACATTGACCTTTGAAGGTATTAGAAGTTTAAAAAGGAAACAATGAATGCCTTCTAATTCTTTAACTGAAGAGAACCCAAAAAAACCCTTGGAAATGCATAATCTAAAATATTGGATCGATATTATCTTTCGGGTTCATTGTTATGGTCCATGGAATTTTGAAGTTCCAAATTAATATCAGTACCTGCCAAGTTACAACTTATCGTACCTTTAACAAGAAATTACAAAATTCCATGAATTACAAAAAAAACAGCCCGCAAAACAATATCGAATTCATATACGCCAGCTGTGTAAAACTGAAATCTATAAGAAATTGTGGTGTGCTAATAAATGCGTATAATCCAAAATTCTTAGGAAACGATTCGAAAAACATCACTTATTTGATGAACCCTAAGCTAAAGAGACTATGGATTCCATTTTTTTCGCTTATTACAATGTGTAAAAGATCAGAAACAAAATGGGGTTGTATTTATTTTGATATAAAATGATTAATCTTGATTTTACATCAATAAAATTATTTAAGGTAAACAAACTATTTTGGCATCGGTGTCCAATAAAAACGGGTAACAAAGGCAAATAAGGAAGTTTAGAGAAGAATTATTTGTTGCTGAACTGAAGAAACTATAACATAAAGATGGAAACACTATATCTCAATTACTTCAAACAGAAAAAAAGAGTTTTCACTTCAGAAATGACAAAAGTCAAAAAAGCATACAATCCTATTACGATTTATCTGAAAAATATAAAATTACCCTTAAGAAGGTATGTCCTACTAGATGGTCTTCAAAGAACGACGCTTTATTAGCGATAAAGAAAAATTATTTATTAATCATGAAACTTTGTACCAACTAAATTTAATTTCCACTAATAAAGATGAATTTGAAGAATGTAAAAATATAATTAACATTTAAGAAAGTTATGATTTCTTAATGCTTCACATTTTTTTCTTCACTATTTGAAATCATTAATCCTGCTTCAAATGCTACACAGCATGAAAATAATGACTTACAGAAAGCTAGTATTTTATTAAGTTATTTTTTTAATAAAGTGAGCTAATTAAGAAATCAAAATTCATTCAATGGTTTGCTAAATGAGTCCAGAGATTTAGCAATAGAGTGAGGGGTAACAACTGTTTTTAAAAATAAAAGGCGAATGATACCGAAGGGTTTTTTTTTTGATGAGTTATCACAAGATGGGAGAATTGCAGACCCAGAATCATATTTCAAATTCAATGTATACTATCGCTGTTTAGATGTATTAATTTCCAAACTAAACAAAAATTTTAGAACCTTTGTGACCTAACTAAAATGTTCGAAGTATTACAACCGGAAAAACTCGTATCTTCTTCAAACGAAGCGATAAAAACGCTTCCGGAAAACTGTCGGCTAAAAGACATTTCAGTTAATCTTTATGATTAATTAATTAATTAATTGCTTAAATTCTGAAATTAAAAAAATTCATTCCATTAAGGAACTCATGGAATTATTGTTGATAAAATTCAATAGCCTTGCATCCAGTTTTCCGAAGATAATAACAACAGGCTTTTTATTCTTGACCTTCCAGTTATAAACGCAACAACTGAAAGAAGTATTTCAAAGTTAAAACTGATAAAAATTACCAAAGGACATTGATAGGGCAGGAACGGTTATCAGACTTGTCACTATTGTCTATAGAGGCAGAAATTTTAGAAAAACTGAAATCGTCCTCAGCTATAGATGATTTAATAAATCGATTTGCCGAAAAAAGACAAGAAAAGTGTATATTTAATTTGAATTGTTTGGCTAGCTCAACTAGGAGGAAGCGATAACTTATAAATATTTATTTTAATTTAATGCTAGCATTTTTGTTTCTTTTCTGAGAAATCTTTACTCTTTATTTAGGTCCCCCAACTATTTTTGATACAGAGCCCCTCCGTTCCGGGGGCGTTTTGCGGTAAATCCCCAAAAAATGACTATCTGCTAATAAGTCGGGAAATTACATCGCAGAAAATTTCTTAATAAATTCGCATTTAAACTTTACGTAAAGGAAATCTAATGCAACCCCCGTGAAACGGATATTTTGCTGAATTTCTTAAAAATTTCTGGTTTTCACAAAATTTTATCACAATAAATTCTTAAGCGCAAGAAATTACACAGGTCAACACGAATTTTGACTTTGATAAGAGGGTATAAAATTTAGACAGATTTATTAATAGTTACAAGAAAAAGAAATATATGGCCTGAAAAAGTTGATCAATATTTTAGAAAATCCATGGTCTAAATTTTTTTTAGCGATGAATTGAAACAAATTTATTAATATATAAGTTTAAAAGTAAACCCTAATACTTTTCCTTTCTTGTTTATAACTACTCTTTATGACTAAAACCCAAACGTAGTCCCCCATCATATTTTAGTTGTATTGACCTTAATAACGTTGTTGGAAAGCCATAATATCTTGATGAAAACGTTCTCGTTGTTCTTTTGAATACGCCGCCATGTTGTTTTCAAAATTAACTAAACGAGCATGCAGCAAATGTACTTTTAAAGACATTCTGCAACCCACAATTTTCTATCATGTTATCAACTAGCTCTCGGTAATTTTCAACTTTGTTATTCCCTAAAAATCTAGAAGTTACTTCTTTAAAACTATTCCAACTTTTTTGTTGACCACTTTTTAATTCGTGGACCAATATAAATTCCAGCTTTAACCTTTGCATCTGACAACTTTAGGAAAAGGTTTTTTAAAACAGTAAAAGCTTCAAATCATTCATCTAATTTTTTTACGAATTGTTTCATGAAAAAAAAATAAATTGATGT